TTTTTTTTATGTTGTCATTTATGTTTTAATGTTAAGTGTGATAACATGCTCTTGATTTGAATTAGATTTTTATTTTTATTTTTTAATATTTAATTTTTTCATTTTTATATTTTTATTATCTTAAGTTGTTAAACAACTCCAGATTTTTTATCATAATATTTATATTTAAGTGTATTGTATTTATAACATTTTATTTTGTCATTAATTCTTTTGTATTTTTATCATTTTGTATTGTCTTAAGTTGTCCAAGTTGGTAATGATATTTTTATTAAAAGCTGTATATTGAATTTGTTTGGATGGATTGCCATTTTGTTTTCTATTAGACGTATATATGTAGTCGTTTAATAGCGGTCTAATTGATGACTAGTCTATTCTTGGGCTATGATTAGACGTCTATTAAATTTTCACTGACAGCCCAAATTTAGCCTTGTTTTAGCCTAGACGTCTGGGCTGTGTTTAGACGGCTAATATACGTCTTTTAAACGCAAAATTGCTTGCTGGGTTCCTATGGAAGTTCAGCTTGTGCAACTTAGGAATGAACTGAAAAAAGTTCGCGCACACACACATAAACACGCACGTTAAACATAAAGTAGAGGACAAATCTATCAGGCAGCCTAAAGTGAGGAAAAGAGGATACAGGACAATGGTAAGCATAGGCACCAATTTATGTTTCTGCCCACACTCTATTCCACTCCAAACCAAATATAAAACATTTTATTCATCATTGTTTCCATGAGCAAATGATAATGGGCTAGGTTGTCATGCAACAACTGTGCCTTAAATATATGAACATTCCCATTTTTTACAGCCTAATTAATTAAAAATTATAAATATTTTTTTCTCCGTTCGATTTTGTGCTTGAATTCATAAGACTACACAAAAGATGTTATTTGTGTCTCGCGAAGAGAAACGCACAGACTGCAAATACACTACTAAACAAAAAATTATTTTCATGAGCATCGCCGCAACTCGTTCACTTGCTGATATACATAAAATAATTCAATAAATACCTATTCATAATAGGCACTTAATTCAAATAACTATTAGGCTAAGTAATAAAATAAATAACGTGAATTCACTGACCAAAATCAGCTTGAAATGCTAACAAAGATGGATGTAATTTTTTTTTACAATTGAAAGGTACTCAGTTATTTCATCAGTCAGTCATGGAAGCCTGGTGGTTGATGGGCTTCTGGCTACATTAATTCCAGGAGAGAAGGCAATTCTATAGATTTGAGTGCACAGGTTTTTGCACCTCCTTTTGCCTCTTCGTTTTATGTCCTTTCTTGGACCAGCCTTAGGAAAGGGACGTACAGCTTCTGGAATGAATGCCTGGACAGAAGTCCTGGAACTCAGGCCTAGACTAGTGTGCCTGTGCACACAAAGCCAGATGTTATGTTTTTGGGTGTCGCTGCTCGTGGCAGAGCTGTGGCCACTAGGCTTGGAACATCATAGATGGTCAAAGTTTTTCCAGGCCGTGTTCTCATCCAGTGATCTGCTGCCATGTTTATATATCGCTTCAGTGGACCGAAGACGCTCCTGTCAAGTGGCTGGAGACGATGTGAGCAGTGGGGTGGGAACGATAGAAGGACTATGCCGTTTGACCGACAAAAGTCAATTGCTGCCACAGAAAGGTGTGACCAATGATTGTCGAGGAGGAGAAGCACCTTCGACTCCAGGGTCACACGGGTGTGTCTGGCAAAGTGCTGGAGAAAGGCCAGAAAGTCTGTATCCTGCATCCAGCCTGAGCTATTTGCAGAACCATGAGAGCCAATGGGACCATTTCTCACAAAGTGGTCCTGGAACTTCTTCCTGGGAAAGATGAAGTACGGGGGAATGCAATTGCCTTGTGCATTTACTGCAAGGGCAATGGTGACCAATGTCCCCCTCTCCCCAGAGGTCACTGCACCGACCTGGCGCTTCCCCTTGGTGGCAATTATTTTACCTGGCACTTGGACTGTCGTGGTACCTGAAAATTAATTATAAACTATGATAAGCTTTCATGAATGTTTGTAGGTGTTTATACCTAGATGTGTGTGTGTATAGTTAGTGTTTGTATATAGTTACATATTTATTTTCATTATTGTTTTATTATCTCTATATCTGTATTTATTTATTTATTTGTATATGTATTTATTTTAGCTAGGTGTGTGTGTAGTTTTTTTATATAATTACATATTTATTCACCTCTTAGTTTTATAATCTGTATATATTAATCTGTATAGGCTACAGTATGTATGTATATCAAGGTCTATAGTTTATATCTGTTATTAAATTTTATATAGCAATGAATTTGTCTCGCGTATTTTACACCACTGAATCACTCTAGCTTTTTAGTTTTAATGAATTGTAAAATTTACCTGTTTCATCCACGTTCCAAATGTCCTTTGCTTCAAAAAGGTAGCGGGCAAGAACTGTCTGCAGGTTGTTATAAAAAGCAGTCACATTTGTTTTATTGAAGCTGGTGGAACGGGACATGCTGGTGGCTTGAGGTCGGCGAATAGACAATGTATTGTTGCGTTCAAGGAAGGAGGTGAGCCAGTCCTTTCCCGCCATCTTGGTGGCATCCCATACATCTGGATATTTGCAGCCATATCTGCTGGCTAATTCGTTTGCAAATTTGCGTACCTAAAACATTAAAAAAATATATGGTTAGATGGAGATTGTTTATGACATGATTAAGATAAAATAAGACTTTACTGATCCTGCACTGGGGATTTTTATATGTTGCAGCAGCTTCAGAGACAGTAGAAAATGAAACATAATTTAGAAAGATAGGACAAAAATGTCAATAAAAAAATAAAATTAAGATAAAAATGGAAAATATATTTAAAGAATACACAAATCTCACATTTTGATAAGCATTTAAAATTGTTTTAGTAAGAGCAGTGTGAGTGAGCTGCATGTTGAGTGTTTTTGCTGTACTACACTGACCTCCTTAGGAGACAGGCCCAAATAAATATCAGCTGCCCTCTTAATATAAGCCTTCAGTTGCTTCTCTTGGTCCACAGAAGACTTTAGAATGCGATCTGTACCCTGGTGGTCTAGTCTTCTCCCTACAAGTCTCTGCCCTTCTCCTGCAGTATCTGAGCAAAGTGACATGACATATGCCATACGACTTAGCTGCCCTGAGACTGATGTTCCTGATATGTCCAGAAACGCCCTCTCATAAATATCTGGCTGAATCAGACCCCTGTCTGTCTTTCTGACCCTAACTCTTGTCATATTCTGTTGGTATAATATGACATAAACATATGTTTTAACAAATTCTGCAACACCCAGAAAGTAACCACATTAGCAGCGGGATAAAAGTAACAAGTGTTACTTCCGTCCCGAAAGGAACTCCTGACATTTAAACCTGATTTACTTTTTTACTGAAAAACCCGATTTACTTTTTTACTGAAAAACTCTGACGAGGCAAACTTTAGGATGTGTTACAGCACTAAATAACATGTAGATTGATCATTACTGTGACAC